AATTATTAATCATCATTATTTGGTACCATAGCTTTGGTGTAATGTTTATCCACACCACCAGTCTTATGTTGACCTGCTACATATATATCCACATTGACACATATCGGTTTATAACTTGAAATCATAGTACATATGAAGCTGAGTTGACATATATGACAAGTTTTTATTTTTTTGTACATAAATTTTTTGTTTTAATATGAACATGGCTTCTTTTTTATGCAAGTTTTGTATATTACAATGCTTGTCTCAAAGTCTTCGACTCTAGCACTACCACGCTTGCATTTATTAGTGCCCACTCACATATGCACGAATTAATACTTTCATGAAGAGTTAAATGCATTGTATATTAAAATTTTAGATATGGTAACACATGCAAAAATTCGACAGTATCAAATATCTAGCAAAAAGAGGATCCCTATTTAAAATTTAAATGTGTGATCAAAATACTCTATTCTTGTCATTCAATATGTTAGGTTATATTAACTACAAGAGAACATATATGTGTTGGGTATAAGTACTTCCAATTCAAGATTTTGACATTGGTAGAATGATAATAAGACTGTACTGCCTCCTGTGTGTTCTAAGACTGTATTTCATTCTTCATATGATCATATCCATTGAAACATAAGTTTTTTTTTTTTTTTTTTTTAAAAAAGTATCCATTTCATTTCACTCTCTGATAAAATATACGCTTAGGGTATAAAATTAAACAATGTAACATGGTATGCTAGCTAGCTTATAATGCGTATAAACCAGATCAAAGTCATGCATTACAATTTACAATGAAAGAGACTCAGCAACGGTGATCCACTCGCGCATAGAGAAATATAGTTCACAAAGCCTTATGTTAGTTACAAGGCTTTAGATTAGATGTCCCCTAACTCTGTGTTTGATTACGTAATTGGATAAAAGCATCACCACCTTCCCTTTTTCTACACCAAAGTGGTTGTTCGATCCTAGAGGATCTAGATATCCAATCAGAAATTGGTAAGTTTCTATAGGATCTAGATGCTCTCTTTCAGATATTTATGAAAAAGGTACTTTAGAGAATAACGGATTACTAATAACGACATATGTAAAAGGCGGGGTGTGTGCATAGTAACAACTAAGAGAGAGAGGGTTCAAAAGTGTGTACTTGGTTGACTTAACTCATTATTTATAGATGAGCTAAGAGTGAACTTTTGGTTCTCTTAAGAATAGTGGGGGTTTAGTTCTTGATCTATTGCTATCGCACTAGGGATTAGTATAATTAATTAAGGAATCTTTTCTTAATTTTTCTCTTAGATATTAGTCGTTTTTTAGCCTTCTTGAATGCGGGCATCTGTCCATAATAACAGTGGTGATGAAGTGTGAAACAAATATAGCTAAAAGAGATGTGTGATATTCAAATTATGAGAGTAAAGGTGGTACGTTTTTTCAATCTTTACAAATCAAACAAAAAGTTTTACTTTTACAGCAATGACAACCGCTAGAGTTATATTTTTAATGGTGTATATATCTCACGTTTTCACTGAATCATAATGGTCCTCAACAATAAACTAATAATTATATATTTGACACCACCCAAACTAGTAACTACTTTTTACCGCACATCAACTTTTAGAAAGTCGTAACATTTTGAAAATCTGCGACGGGCTCTGTATTTGCAAATTGTAATAGATGATCTTATACTATCTGTTATGATAGTGTGTCTAGCACTTTTGGTAATTTATTGTTTGACAATAATATGGATGGGGTCTTTATCATAATCAAAATAAAATCTACTTTAAAATGGGTTGTCAACGACAAAGTATCATTTATCTTTCTTTGATAGGCTTCATCTTCAACATCATATACTCTATTGATCTAATTGTTATTTCAGTGAACTAAGTTGTGACAACTTTTAGCCTCTTACTTCTAAAAAAAAAAAAACTCTTACGATGTTTCGAGAGAAATTTTTTATAACCAGAGAAAAAAAATATCTCAGAATATGGTGGAATATTTTTTGGCCTCGGTAAGTTACAAAAAGGTATTTAGTAGATATTAATTTTTTCAGGAAAATTGAATTATTTTTACTAATACTATGTTTGGTTGATAGTAAAATCTTGATGGGAATATGTAATAAAATTACGAAATTACGCATTATGTTCAAATTTTTAATCACTTTGCAATCCATTTTCGAAAAGTTTATTCAGGACATTTTTTTTAGCAATACGTTTTAGAATCCAGTTTCTCAGATAAAAAAAATACCATGTTTGAAAGTGCATATTTTTTTTTTTGCAGACTTTAGTACAAAACCATTTTGCCGGGTAAAATAAAATACTGATATTTGGTAAATTAAACACATGCCAAACATGATAAATATATTTGACTTACACTACTTTCCCAAGAATTTTATCAAATTCTCCATACCAAACACCCCCTTAATTTTTTGGGGACACAGGAAATGGATCTTCTCATGTGTAATTTAACATGATTATGTCATGTGAGAGGATCTTAACCATTAATAATTAAATCAACGGTGATGATTGTGTAACTTCCTATTCTTATATTTTTTTTCTCTCCTCTCTTATCACCATTAACTCACTCATGTATGATTATGATTGACCCACATGACATGGTTATGTTAATTAACACATGAGAGGATCCACTCCCCTCTTTATACATTATGCATTAAAGATGGCTTTCGTTGTAATAATTTTGAGGAAATAAATAAAGTGTAAAGTTGTAATCATTGAAATACACATCGTAATCCTTCAAATAATTTCCTGAAATACGGTTCTTCCGCGAATATACCTCTAAATTATGTGAAACCATGACCTTACCGTGTGATATTGTGCCACCTCTACAACCTCCATTGACAGAATCTTTAGCAAGATCAGCTCGTAGGAATCGCAGAAAAAAGATAACCAATAAAACGATCTACCAATAGTCTAATACAACACCAGCTAAATAAAGACAAGCAGCAAAATGGCACAGCCTAGAAAGTTTGTATAGTGGTGAAGTGATATTACATATAAAAGTGTATATTGAGTGGTAATGGTGTCTGTGATTACGATTAAGGTGTTGAAAGTGAAGATGTACTATTACAATTAAAATGGTTTTATTTTCACACTATATATATTATTAGTTCAGACACTTCTCAAGGCGGGGATAGAAGGGAACCTCCTTAGTTGAAGGAGGTATTCATATAAATCATGTTCCTAATATACAAATTTTCATTTATAAAATCATGAATAGAATTGTTCGCATGGGAGTCCTATTTTAATTAATTTTTGAAAAATCCAAAGATGATATGATGATTTTTTGAGGGAAAAAAGAAGTATCTTTTAAAGGATACAAACTTGTGTCTTTTTAGGTGATTTACACAAAGTCTGACAGGTAAGACTTTGTGTAAATATGAATTTGTGTAAATTTGAAAAGTTACTTTTTTTTTCTCTCTCTCAAGTTACATCACTGACGTGTAAAGTGAATTTTTTTTTTTCAGATTTACACAGTCTTACTGGTCAGACTTTGTATAAATCACTAAAAGAACACAACTTGTATCCTTTTAAAGGACATCTACTTAACCCTTTTTTATGATCAACAATCTAATATACGTTGTTCTCAATCATAAAAAATATCATGATGATAATAAATACTAAGTGGAAATCCATGTAGCACACTTTTTATGTTAAATAAACTAGACAGTTTCAAAAAAAAAAAAAATTCTAAACTAAACAAAATATGGGATCACCGTATAAGAAATAAATTTATCTCGCGTAATATGCGAAATATTAAACCCTAATAAAATATAAGGCAACTTATAAGTGATTTTCATATAATTATCTATGGTAATACTTAATAGTACGTCATGCATCAATAGTGATTCCTAAGGCACATGGAGTATTGTTACTGCATGCGGTGGAGCTGTGAGGACTAGAGGTTTTAATGGAAAATCTAGATTCAATCAATGCTGTTTAGATCATATGGCTGCCTAGTGACCCATGCTTGTGAAAGTATGGAACCTCAGAATCAGAATAACCCCATGTTTTTGGGAGAAAGTAACGGAGGAGCTCATATTGGCTTGTCGATGGTCTCACTCTTGGGGACTCGAGTCATGAGGCCACTACTCCCATTGGCTCTTCTTCTGTGTTTCGCTAGCTAGCTTAGTCCCACAATAGTTTTTTTTTTTTTTTTTTTTTCCAAGTTCTTGCCTCTTTATGCTTGTAACCCAATAAAAATAAAGGATAACCTTCCATATGATTAAGATCATATCGTGAATTCTCAATGCCTTGACAATTAATGAAACTGGTAAAATATTTAAAGAAGCGAGCCTCTCCATAGGGCACAGATATGAATATCTTTTAACGCTTGAAAAGATAATTTGTTGTGTGAATTTCATATGCTGAGAATAGAAATTAACAGTAACCTTGAGTAATTATGATAATATACATATACTTTTTTTTGGTAAACATACATATACTTTTTTTAACCTGTTAGTTCCGATAAGAACAAAAACTTCTTTTATTACTTTTTATCAAAGCTATTATCATCTTGACCATCTGACAATTCACCTAATTGGGTACAAATTTACTTTTGGATGGAATTTTTTTTATTGTGTACATTGAATGCATATTTACTTCTCCAGGTGTGTTGGGAGAAAGTGTTTCCGAATATTTTTGATCAGCACATTATGCGCTCTAAAAGGATAAAAAAAATTTCAAAAAAAAAAACCCAATATGAAAGAAACTCTCCCATTCATAGATAGTAAAAATCAAAAGAATCATTACATCACTGTCATTTTCCAAATCAAAATATTTTACACCCATCACTTATCTGCAAATGATCACATTCATAGATCTCACGGAGAACAAAGAGAAACGATTAAAATTAGATAAAGATCAAGGTACGTGCCGTATTATAAAGTATACAATTTATCAAAATCTTGATCCCATTAAATTTACAATACTATTTATTTATTTATTAATAACATAAACAACAAAACCTAAATACAATTTCCTCGCCCACATCACTCCCCAACCCCCTCAATTAAACACTGTTTCATACAACTCATGCTAAACAATTTATTTGAATTTAATCTAACACATTAAGAACCAAAAAAATTACTAAAGAAAAGGACATCCAACTTAAGAATAAAGCAAATTATATAATTTAGAGAAAGAAAAACACTAAAGAGAAACATAATTAAAAGGTACAATTACAAATTACAGACTTTGGTAGCTTTTTTTTTGTTTTTTTGTTTTAAATTTTATTTATCCCCTGCCTCACTCACTCGGTTGTTGCTGACTCACTCAACTTGAAAGTTCAATCAAACCATCCTATTCCGAGAATCCAATTAAACCTACAGTTTACAGTTCATCTCGTTCCGTTTCCTAACTCAGTGGACCCCACTGAGTCAACTCACTATGACTCACCGGCTGGAAGCTTCCACGCGGAGGTGGCGATGAGTGGCCTCGTGTGCCACCCAAGCATGAGGCACCCATTGTTCTCCTCCACCCTATACCCATCACCGCCGGCGAACAGAGCCAACAACATGCTCGCTTGCTTGAACGCGTTCGAACCGAGATGAACCGGGTCGAAACCGGCCGAGCCCATCCTCCCCCTCCACTGGTTCAGTGTCTCGTGTCGCTCGACCCGGTCCACCCCTTCGCAAGCCACCACGTTGCAAATCTGCCTCCCAAGGTAGAGCTCCGACATCAGCAGGTCCTGACTCGGCGGTGCCAACCCGGTCGACGACGACGAAGACGAACCCTCCAGCGAGTCAAACAAGCTTGAATAATAATGCAGAGCCTCCGTGAACCGGTCCACAAAAACCGGTCCATTGTGGTTCGCTTCCTGTTCAACAATAGTCACAATCTTGGGCTTAATCTTCTTAACAGTACCCAGTACCTTCTCAATGGATCCGGGTCGGGCCAGCATGCGGTGGAGCTCGAAAACGGAGTTAACAGCAACAGCCTCACCGGGTCGGATCTCGAGCATGTTCGGGTCAAGATCCGCCAAACTGTTGCAAACGAATCCGCGAAATTCGAACTGAACCCCAATGGTATGAGCCAGCTGAGCCAACTTCAACCCAACCTGTTGAAGCGCGTCGGTGTTGTCCGGCTGCGGTGGTCCGATTCCGGTTAACCGGAAAGTCGGAGGACCGCCGACGCGCAATGCTAGGGCCTGCATCAGCGCCGGCCATTGCATCCCTTGTTTGAGGTCGAAATCGATGACGTGGACACTGCCGGCGCCGGCGAAGGCTTCGAGAATCGCCTGATTCGCTGTGAAGTGTGCGAATTTCAGGTAAGGGGAAGATTCGTAAAAGTGCATGTGGAGCATGTCGGAGAAAGAGGAATCTAGGGTTTCCTCAGGGTAGATTCGGTAAATTCTCCGAGCAAGGGCTTGTGCGAAGTAAGAAGCTACCTTCCTCATAGCTCCGGCTTGCGACGCTGCGAGCAAACCTATGTGCTTGACAAGCGTGTCAGCGAGCTTGAGATTCTCTTGCTGAACAGCTTCGGCGCAAGCCATGAGAGTGTGAACGAGACGAACCCCTGTTTCCTGCGAGTCAACGAGAACAACGGGTCTTGTTGGTTCTGACACTGTTGGTGGTGGCGGTGGCGGGAGTGGTGGTGAATCTGATTCAATTGGCCATGGCTTCAATCGCTTGTTGCTGGTTTCGATTTCGGTTTCGTTGTGTGGGTTTTGCTGTTGTTGTTGTGGTGGGTATGCTGCTATGCCAGGGATTGCTCTGAGGTCGTATTCTGAATCGTCGTTGAATATTCTTGTTGGGTTGTGGATTTGTTGTTGTGTGTGATTGGCGAGGATTGAAGAAGGGTCTATTGGGTCGTTGATTTGAGGGTTCCACGATGGATCGAGGATTGTGGTGGTGGTAGTGGTGGTGGAAGAAGGGTTCAGTTCTGTGAGCATGCTTTGAACCCATGAATAGAGATCGGTTGGGTCATAGTGAACGGTGTCAGAAGCAAGGTGGCAAATTCCATCTTCCTTAGCAGTTCCCATAACCATCTCAAGCTGTTCCAGCTTCTGAGCCACGTCAGCCATGTCTGAAGAACGTACGTTGTAACCCAAAGCCGCCAGCAACTCGTCCACGCCGCCGCCGACTGTGGCGGCGGCGGCGGCATGTTCTTCATCCCACATCTTGGCCTTGCCACTCGACATTGACGAGCATTCACCTTTCACACTCCCTCCTCCGTAGCTAGATTGGTGATCCCTCTTCATCTTTTTTTTTTTTTCCTTTCACCTCCTCTCTCTATGTGCCAACCAAATAGGAAAATTGATTCAACAAGTGAAAAAAAAAAAAAATTGGATTAAAATTCCAATTGGGTCAAATCATATCATGGGAAATGAAATGGGGTTGCGGAGTTTCAAAATTCAAGAAAAGGGGTTGTTGTTGTTGGCACTTGAGAAGATGGGTGAGAGGTCCGAAGAGAGGAGCATAGAGTGGAGAAGATAAGGAAGAATGGAAGTCATAATAATGGAAATTTTCACTCGTGTGTGTTTTTCCTTTCCTTTTTATTTAATTTTTTTCCCTAGACAAAAAATAAAAAAAAAAGTTTCGATTTTGTAATTGTAGAGAAAAAAAGAAATAATATTTTAATTATGGGTAGTGTGAGAGAGCATTTTGTGTGCGCTAAAAAAATGAAGCTCCGGCAAAAAATACTTGAAAAGGCATCAAAGAGCCGTGGGAGCACCGCAATGCCAAGAAAGATGCCCATGATAGTGTACAGCTCGTGCATACCCCAGACACCATACACTATAAAATCAGGTGGCCGTACACTTCATCTATTGAGAGTCTTGGGGACCGAGAATGATCGTGGGCCCCACCATATGTCCAATCCCTCACGCACTTTCTTCACGCGCGTGTTTAACACTCCCCTCCCTCACCACTTAGGGACATTGACCATATTGCCACTCCTTTCATAAAAATTTACCTGATTGTCACTTCTGAAAAAAAAATTGTCAAAATGCCACGCCTGAATTCCGCTGGTCTGACAAGCGGGAATGGACTGGACACGTGTCAGCATCTGAATGGTCAACCATTCTCGCTGGGCCGCCCAGCTAGAATGACAGAATGCTGACATGTGGCAAAAGCACAGGCATTCTCTGCATGTCTGTACTTTTGCCATGTGTCAGCATTCTGTCATTCTAGCTGGGCGGCCCAGCGAGAATGGTTGACCATTCAGACGCTGACACGTGTCCAGTCTATTCCCGCTTGTCAGACCAGCGGGATTCAGGCGTGGCATTTTGGCAAATTTTTTTTCAGAAGTGACAATCAGGTAAAATTTTGCCTAAAAAGTGGCAATATGGTCATTGTCCCCACCACTTATTCTACTTCTGCTTCGATTGCGGTTCCATAAAATGATATTATTAGTAATGAAATGATGATTGGGGGGATGGAATTAAGAATGCGGAAGTTGGAACTCAAAAAAACAATGGTTAATAGAGGGAATGCCAATGTCAATAGAGTGAATAGACCCTCCAATTTGCTATGCTTAGTATAAAATATATTTGATTGGGCTCCATCATTTGTATTTGACTTTGAAATTTAATCCCTGTTAATGTCCCCTCATTCATTATTTTTTGGTACAACTATGTCCTGTTGTCCTATGTCCCCTAACTTTTTACTCATACGAGTGGGGGATGCTGTTGTGGATACTCGCTTGTGTGTTTAGGAAGAGTATCTGATTGGGACTACGGAAAGGAGCTGCACTCAAAAAATAAAAATCAATTTAACTTGTTCAAGTATGATTTTATCAAAAAAATTGTAAGAATAATCCTTAAGAGAGAGAGAGAGAATTTTAAAACCGATAATGTTATGTCAAGCAAAGTGGACAACCGTATTTATGCTCCACCCTTCTAAATGTGCGATGACAAATATAGTTAAGATACTCGAAGCTTTTATATTGTTAGTAGTGTGTCATTTGAAGAAAAGAAAAGAAAATTATCCAGCATTCACTTTGTACATTATAATTTGGGGGTAAGAAAAAAGAGAGCATTTATGTTCATGAAAAAAATGCAACTTTAATAATGAAATGACATTTTTGTAACTTTAGCATTTATTCATTCATCTTAATATACCACTTCTTCTTTTTCCTCACCGCTTCGGCTTTCTATTTTTATTTTTATTTTGGTAAACTACGCTTTCTATTTTAATATCACACTTTTTTTACTTGTGAAAAGTGATTTTTTTTTTCTTTTATTATATTAGCTGAAGTATTCCGTATCATATTTGATGAATTAGTATTTTTGAATGATTATTTAAATTTTCAAATAATAAAACTAAATATCCAAGTTACCAGTCATAACTCTCAGAAAAATAAAAAATAAAAAACACCTCAGAGTGGTATTGCCATGAGGTGTGGCCTATGGCAAGTGTGTGTGGTCGGTTTCCGTAGGTTCGAGTGGGGAATAACATCACGCTACGCACATGAGGGAGAGATCAAGGGGACGGGTCAACTTTGGTCTTCACGCGCCTCGCTCCCACGCCATAACACAGAACCTAATGGGAAACAGCTTAGTGCAATTGTAGGACCAAGTGGCGATCCCTTGTAGTGCGTGTCATCACACGCATTTCATGTGAGACGATGAAAGAGAGAGGAGATGAGTTGCAAAGGGGGCCCCACAGAAAGAGGGGTCTGTGCGGAGAGAAGATCAACGAGGACGGGGATTCAGACGTCAACATCGATTTTAGGACCATCCGACGTGGGACCCACCGTCCCAAAAACAAAACATTACTACTACTCCATTCTCTCTCTCTCTCTCTCTCTCAACGAAAAGAAAATAGTTGCCAGGACAGCACGTCCTCAAGAACGGCGTTATCAAAATACTTTTGCTATAAATTATAATGCAAAGAACCTTTCTAATTATAGGCTATATATTTAGAAAATTTTCTTTTCATTAAAATTCAATAAAATGCAAGCTTTCGTAATTTAAAAAATTAATTAAATAAAATTGTAACTCATATAAAAAAATTTAAATTCAGTTACTATTTTTAAAAAAGAAAAAGCAAAAGAAAGGATCCGTCGAGAGAAACGGCGTTATTATGATTCCGTTTAGCGTAACTGTGTAAAAGGGACGTCCTTGAATAGCAAAAAGGGTGGTGTCCGCATCCGGACGGTGACGTTAGCGGAGGAACACAACCACAGACGGGGCCTTCTCTTTATTTTTATTTTTATTTTTTTGGATTAAAAAAAATTTAAGTGGGATTAGACATCAGTATCCCACTAGCATGGCGGAAGAGACATGACTATTAGCTTTTTTGTCATGAGAAATTATATATTCGTAATATAATTAAAAAACTTGAATTCAATATTAAATTTAATAAGCTTATTATGATTATTATTATTATTATTATTATTATGAGTTTTACTATTAAAGAGCAATATTGAAAATTGGAAGGAAAGGAAGAGGGAGAAGGGGCACTGACAGGTGATGTGGTCAGTGATATATGAAAGGAGAGAGGGCCATGACCATGTGATTCTGCCACGTTTTACAGATTCTCTTGTCTCCGTGGTCCCTCCCTCTGCACTCCCCTCACTTCCTCATAACCCTGTTTCCTCTCTGTATCACTTCCAATGTCTCTCCTATTCTTTTTTCTATTTCTCCTCTCTCTCTCTCTGTACATTTTCTTTTTACTATCCAAAATCTCAATTAATATCAATGTACCATGCCAACCTATTCAACTCAAAATCAATATAGTCAATGAAATGTACATATGACAGTTGATATCATGTTATCATTAAACAACGGTTGTACTAACTGTGCCTCTAATCAGTAATCACCATAGGGACATGATCTCAAAAGCCAATTATAAGGTATCCAATAAGTTTTTCTTTTTCTTTTTTAAATTTATGAGAACTTCATTGAAAACATTCAACAATTTCTTTTATCGAAAAAACATTTCTCGTGCAATAGGAGAGTTTCTTCTAATATTACAAACTCTTCAATTCTCATTTGTGTTCTATATACTTTTTATAGATGCGTTATTTGTGAAGTATGTATTTATGTATTATGAACTAAAGAGTGGTTCGGAAAAATGTTTGTTCAAATATAAAATTAGTTTTGAAATCTTTATACTTTGTGATAACTGTTTTGAATATTGTTTAACAAATTGATTGTCAATGATAAGAACATACGAACTTTTCATTTATGAAAGTTACGAATTGGAATATAATCAACTTCTTGTGTTATTTATTAGAGTCATTAATTGGTTATTATATAATATAATTAAAATTATATAATTCATAATTAAAAATAGTAATAAATAAAAATTTTCATTTATATTTCAATGGTGTTTATTTATATCACGATCTTTAACATGTAAAAAAGTAGTACTAATTGTTTACGTGGCCATCTACATCTGCTCAACAAGATAGGTGGCAGATTGTGTCTGTGATTTTGATTTTGCTATTTCTGTGTACAATCTTGTTGTACTACAAATCTTGTACCATGTACCACGCAATTTCATACACGAATCTAGTTAAAATCTTCAGTTTAAGATAAGACGAAGGAACAGTCGATCAACAAAAGAAATTCGTGTTTTAATTCGTAATTAGTTTTTTTTTTTCCTTTACAATGTCAAAAGTTCACTAAAAAAATTACAAACATTAATCCATTCATTTTTATTTATTACATTAGACTCTACGTTTTTTAGAGTGATTAAATTCATGAACTTACTCTCTCTTGAAGAATGATGTATGTCATTCTTTCAAATTTCAAATTTTAAATTAAGAGTAGAATATTGTAACGATCAGTTAATATTACTATCAATGTTACTACCAATCAATTTTACTGTTAGGTCAATTATATTAACTCAACGGTTAAATTTATTTTTACATTTTATCTAAATTTAAAAATATTTGTACAACAATATAAGATATTTAGGGGTGTATTGAATTAAGATTTTAAAAGATTATTTTGAAATTAAAAAATCCTGTAAATTTTAAACGACTATTTAAAAATATAATGCCGTGGGATGTTCCTCATAATGATTAAGGATTGGAATCAAGTGTTTGTGAGGAAATTGTTATTCAGTTATGCTTTGGGTGTGTGTGAGTTAATTTCTTATGCCTAATAGATATTGTTAGGTACATAAATAGTGATAACAACATTGTGGATATGAAAGAAAATAATACTGGAATCAATTTCTCTGCTCTATGGATATCTGCCACAGGAACGCAGTTCCTAACATTGGTACTTTATCTTGAACACCACACCACTCTCTTCTTTTGTTGAAATGCATTTGAATGGACTACAACAACGGTTAAATACTACATAACTTTTTTAAATTACTTAAAAATCTTAATTTAATGCCAATAAATTGTTTTATTCAAAAAATATTTTTTAAAATCTTAATTGCACCTTGAAAGAAAAACCCCGCAAGAATCGAATAAATATCACAAAATAATAGTACAATTTGAGGGAAATTCTGCATCTGGGTTAAACGACTAGTCATGATAATATATTCAAAGCTTGTCCCCCACTAAAGAAAGTGACGAACTTTGCGTACTTATTTTCTTTAATGCAGAGGATTCAGAGTTTCTAGTCTTGTTTGCAAAGCCCTTGGTTTTTTCCGGTGTTGTAGAGC